TGTTTACAGACCATGCCTGAACACAACATACACTCTCAGGTATAGCACCACCAATTGGCCAAAGGAGGAACAATATTTAATATTGATGACACTTCTTGTTACCAATGTTGACATAAGTGACAAGAAACTTGGCCAAAACAATACCAAAAAATATTTTGACATAAATATTTAGACCCAGTAGAGCTACCTGGGGGTCATGACACTTTGAGATGTGGTTTTCATTATTTAATTTGTCCGTATTGTTTAGAAATGTTAATAATTTTCAGTTGAATACATCTTCTAAATAAGGATTTGTTGTAGTGCATATAGCAACAAACAGGCCCCCGAGAGGAAATGGCGCCGGAGAGGCTTGAGCCCTCTGGTTGCTGCTTGCTGCATTAATTTCATTTTTTTTTACTTAACAAGTGTCTCAATAAAGTGTATATGAAAATGTGTATATATAAGATGCTTAAGATTCAATATGTAAAATATCAAAGAATCACAAATCAAAAACTTGCTGAATCTGTCTTTAAAAATGAAATAATTTTTTCAAAATAATTTTTTCCTATGTTAATGGGCATCGCAGAATTTGTGAGATGAATTTGACAAAATCGAGTTCTACCAAAACAAACTTCATTTTACTTTTGATAACTTCAACTTGTCTATTTTTTGAGCTGGTTCCAAAAGATCAGTCACTTTTAGTTTTTTTTTACACTGCAAACTTTTTTATTTTATGAATAATTATCTATGTAGTGTATAGATTATTTAGCTTGTTTTGAGAAAAAAAAAATCCTCATTCTGATAATTTATTTGCTTGAATTAAAACTAAACTTAAAACTAGAAATTTAAACTCAAGAAAGTAACTTCAAGAACATTATGATTGTCTTGTTTTAAGAAATCAATGTTGAATTCTAATAAAAAAAAAAAACTCTCAGAACAAGAAAGAACTGCTTGAACAAAGTTAAAATCCTGTGATGGACCCGTCGACCTGTCCAGGGTGTACCCCCGCTTCTCGCCCAATGTGCCTTGGAGACCCCTTTTTTACCCCAAAAAGGGAATAAACGGGTTGGAAAATGAACGAATGAATGAAAGTTAAAATCTTCTTTGATCATGCAAAAAATCTGAATAGCAAATTTGACTTTCTAAAATCAAGAATAAAATGCTGTTGAAAAAGAGTCTTAAAACTGGGGAGTTATTTCTAGGTATGTTGATAATTAATGACAAACATTCTTCTGTCAAATCAGTTTTTCATTAAAGTCATTTATTCACCGCATTCGAAAAGAGTAATTTGTCAAAATTTTAAGCAGTTTTTCTTTATAGTTTTAAGACTATTTTAACGGAAATTTGACTTGGTAGGAATTCTTGAAACAAGAATAAAATGCTTGTGAACAATAATCTTCAAATTAGGATGTCATTTTTGGTTTGAAGATCCAAGTTTTTTTTATTCCATCATCCTTTGTTGTCAACTAGACATTTTTGACAATTTTAAGAAATCAGTTTAACTAGATTTGAGGGTTTTTTCTTGTTCCAAGAGACCATTTTTTGTAGTGTAGTTTTTTTTACATATATATTAAATATTAAAATACATTTAAAAATAACACATTGATGATGTCACAATATGCACATATGTACTTTATTTCTGAAAACCTAGAGTCGCTCTAAACGTATAAGTCATCATCAGGAAAGGAAGGATCTGTCAGTATGATGCACACATCTCCAAAATGTAGAACAGCTCCAGCTTTTATCACATCTGTGTTTTCATATTGGACGTAACATTCAACCCTTTGTGTGTTTTGGTGTTCACGGCACTCCTGTCACAGCAGGTGAAGAGAGACTGAGTTGAATTACTCATAATTAAAACAAAGTCTTAATAACGTGGTGGAAATGTGTTGCGGGGCCTCCGATAGAGATCCACAACATATGTCCGGGTTAGAGAGAGGAGACAGCAGGGCAGTGTGTGCATGAGCTTGTTCCAGTAGCGGTGTGTGTTTTCTGCATGTTTGCTCTCTCTTGTGTACTTTAGCTGCGTATTGTATGGATGGAATGAATCGTTGCTCACCTGTTCACACACACTAACAAAAGCCAGGCAGCGGAAGCAGCTGTCTCACAACTGTACAATCCTGGCCTGCCATGCTCCTGTTTGCTCAGTACATATTCTCACCCTGGGTAGCTCAAACATCAACGTTCTCATGTCCTGCTCAGGTGGCACAGTTTAAACAGCTGAATATTTCCTCAAGCCCTGTTTACCCAACGAGTACTGGATCCTATGGTTCCGCATACTTCAAGTCTTTGTGTTTACCACATCCTGGAAATGTAACAGAGATACAGAACTGTTCTGTGAATCACATCCCATTCCAAAGTGACCCTAATTGATGTCATCTTGTTTGTAAATGAAAGTAAAACTTTTAAAAATATATCAAAGTGCAAATGAATCCCATTGATATTTACACAAAACAGAGGCGTTTCTGTTGTTACTGGATTTTGGAATTGAAAATATAACAAATGATCAATTTGAACACTAGCAATGTTTATTGTGCAAAAGCAGAGCATGGTAAAATAAGAAATACCCTCAAAACTATGTACTGCAGCACTCTAGCGACAACAATTCACTATTTTAAAACCTTCAATGTATTAGCATTCGTTTAACCACTGCACTTTTTAATATGTATGATCTAAGTCATGGGGCATTTTGTGACATCTGTCCCAGATGCAGTGTTTTGCAAGTTACTACATTATATTTTACATTAGTGCACACACTACTTCTCACATTTACAGAATTATTCACAGGGTATTCACAACACCATTCTGATCTAATACTGCCATGAGTGATTTGGAAAGATGTAACACAATTTTCACATCTGGATTTGGGGATCTTCTGCCATTCCTCATTGTTTAAATGTTTTGTACATTTAAACATTTGATCTGACAATCTATGAATATATTTAAAGGGGCCATATTATGGATTTTGTAAAGCAGTTATAATAAATATTTGAGCCCTCGTTACTAGCCCGGCACCGATAAATGCAATCGTAAAAAACGTCTTTGAATCACCTCATTTTTTGCCTCTGCTAAACGTTCCCATTCCCCCCACAGTCATGCTTCAACCCGCCCCTTTGGGAGTTGTAGTTTGGGATTCATGGGTAATGTAGTGTGTAATGGCAGTCGTGGGTAATGGGTAATGTTGTAAGGGTGGCAGTCTTGGCCTCGTGGATCAGGTGTTTGACTGGAGATCAAAAGGTTGCTGGTTCGATCCCTGCTCCACTGGAAGTCAAAGGTGGGATGAGTGTTAAAACTCTCTCTCTCTCCTGTGACAACCATGACTGTGGTGGCCTTGAGCAAGTCACCAGTTTCCCGCAGCTATGTGTGTATTCACTGCTGTATGTGTGATGGATTTGAATGGGTTAAATGCAGAGCACAAACTCCTTGTACTTGGTCCTAATGTCACTTTCACTTAATGGCCGCTAGTTTTGAGTCAACTAGAGTGGCATGAAGTTGTTCAAACGAGAATTAAGAGAATTCTGTGTGCCACCCGGGCTGGAAAGGGACATGAATAAAGTCTAAAGTGCATCAAACAGTTCTGTGTAACTCTCTTCACTTCTCAAGCGAACAAATCCACCAGAAACGTGTAGAAATAACAACATGCTTCACGCAGTTCAGTGCCTGTGTACGCTAATGCGCTCCATGCTGTTTGCCTGAGATGAAGTTAATTAACAAAGTTTGGATCTTTTTCATGCAAATACTGTAGGGGTAGGAATTTGTTTATTCTTTCTAATGGTGCTTTGTTGAAATGATTAGCCATTTTCAGGTGTTTTGTGCAATGCTGGGATGGTTAGCATAACCGCTAATATTGCTGATACACCATTTATTAGGCAGCAATACTCTCTGTAACTTTAAGTACGTTTACAAATCTAACTTGGTGATTGGCATTGTCCATCGCAATGTTTCAAAGTGGACATCGTTGAAAGATTCTGAATAAACTTGAGGCATGTTTTCAATGCCACCACTCTCATATGCGATTCTCAGACAGTAGAGTGTAACTTGTGTTTCAAGATTCAATGATGTTGCTTGGAAAATGACTAGGTGTTTATTGTGCGATTAGGGTGTATGTTCTGTGTGTTTTTGGCCAACACCCAAAACACAGCTGTGGCCCGTCAGCAGTAACAGGCATGTGGTTACAGATTCACTGATATATGACTATAGTGGATCTATCAAAATAGTTAAAATGTAAACACTGGCTCCGAGAAATCTCCTGCCCTGCCTTTAACGAAGATTTAAGATGCTATGGCTAATTTGTCATGCATTGATGTTTGTATTGCTTTATCTTACTATTTGGTTGCAGAAGAGGTTGAAAACTGTGGCCTTTGCCAATACTTGAATATCTTGGCAAGATATGTACTGCTAAAGTGGTAAATGTTTTCTTTTTTTTCTGTGTAAGAGTAACTAGATTAGCCCAACTTCACTGTAGTTTATTATTAGACAAACATAAAGTCAGCAAAACTGTGAGTGATCCTGAAGTCTTTAAACAGACTGGAAACATGGCGTCTGCTCAACTGTGCTTTGCTTTTTGTGTGTGTTTGCTGCTTGAATATCTGGGAACGATACGCTGCTGTTGTTCTTCTGCTGCTCTGATTGGATGAGCTGGAACTGCGCTGATGTTTGGTGAAGACCTCTGGGGCTACTCCACACATCTGGAGTCTAGACTCGGTGGCTCTAGCTCTCTTCCTCCTTCTCTCTCCCTCACCCTTTCTTTCTGCTGTCCTCTGTTTGTATAGCTGCTTGTGTTTCATTTCAATTAAAGTTACCCCCCTTCAAGTGCTTAATTGATTCTAGTGATGAAGGACAAAGTAACTGGAGCCCTCAAAACATAGCAGGAGAGAAATATTGTTAGGAAGACTTAGGCAAACCGGGCCGCGAGCATCTGTGTGTGTGTGTGAGAGAGAGGACGGAGTGATTATCTCTGGAGTGGCTGGATGGAGAGGAGCCGTGTGTTTGACTTACTGCGTCCTGGTGTTTATGAGCACGCTCACACAAAGGTTCTTTCTGGAGTCTTGCGGTGTGCTGATGAATGTGTGTCATTGTGGGTTTGTGCATGCGGTTGAATGGTCTGTTTTACCTGTTAATCTCTTAATCTGGTCCCACCCCTCGATAGCTCATGCGGTGAGAGCTCAACAAACTGACAGGAGTTTACTTTAGATGCTGTCAGGCCCCTTTTGTCCTCCATCTCAATTTTGTTTATAGCAAATTGACTAATCGTCGTCAAGGAACAGAATGAGGTCATACAGTTGCAGATCTGGGGACAGTCTGTAATTTTTGTGTCATTTTTTTCTATTTTTACACTGTTTTAATTTTCCTGCCGGGTCTGCATCAGATTTAATTTGACACTAGCTCAGGCCTGCTCTCTGACTAAATGAGTCTGATTGAACACAAGACTGACACACTTTGTAGGAAATAGTGGTGTATAGGTACACACGGCTAAAATCATACATACTATATATATATATGAAGTATATATACAAATGAAGACAAAAGCTTTTACAAATCTATTTATTACAAACTATGGAAATGTTCCAATGTTTAAACTATCAGTGCAAAATAAAACAGAATTTATGAAGTTTAAGATGGTAAAGCTAAGAAAGCTTGTCTAGATTGAATTGAGTGCAATACATCAACCAACCACAGTATTAACATTTGTTCACTCAGAGTAGGAAGAATTCTATTCAGCAGCACCTCTTTTGTTTTAATAATCTTAGTAATAAAGAAATGTTAACAGTAAATCAGCATATATCACAATATATACATAATTTTAAAATCATATAAATATGACGCTTAATCCAGCTTCTTATTGACGCTTATTGATCTACCTTAAAAAGAAACAACACTTCCAGAAAGCAGCTCAAGCTTTCATTTTCTTATTCAAGCCAAGTTTACTGTTTCATATTCACGCGGTGTTATATTCTTCAGACAAGCAAAGTTTTTTGTTCAGGTTTATTGTTTAATATTCATGCATTTGAAGTTGATCTGACTGGTTCCTATATATATATATTTTTTTTACGATTTGAACAGAATCTTTAACTTTGTGTATGCGGTTATGACGTCGAATGTTTCCCAATACTCTCTCTCATAGCGTTTATTAAAACAGCTATAATGTAAACATATTACAAGTGTTTTTTAATAAATCTGTTCAAATCTGTGAAACATTTAGGGAGACCTTATTGCTGCAGTTTTGCCATTGGACGAATTGGCTTTCTCAACCTCACCATAGTAGCTATAGTATATAGCATAGTAGAGTTTTACTTTCAGTAGCACGGTTTAACCCTCCTACACAGCTGTTTCTGTTTCAGTTCATGACTGGGTTTCAAGCTAAACGTGACATTGATGATAATTAGCACCTGTTCTATGTAATTGGTGGTTCATACACCACTTTTATTTGCTCACTTTGAATTTGATAAATTCCTTAACGTATTATTTGTTCAGAGCATTTTTTTCTCACTGTAACATATAATAACACTGTATTATTTCTGAAATCATATTGATGTAATATTGTGTAAATGTTTAATATTTTTTTCCATTTCAGCTTGAACATAGCTGTGCGATTCAAGCCCAGAACCTTTGCCTAATACCCAACACACTTGTGCTCTCATAAGTTTGGTTTATTTTCCCTTACAAAGAGCCAATTCTGCTATCGGGAGCTCAGAATGATGGAAAATCATCTTGAAATGATCTTTGTGTGTATGCTGAGAAAGAAGGTATAAATGACGGCCAGATTTACAGCCAGTCTTTAGGTAAAGTCCCACCTTTTTCCATGTTCACCCCTTCTCTTCTTTCTCCGGCCATTATAATGGACACTGTGTTTTTATGAGAGGACCAGAGCAAAGCCCACTCACATGGCACCACCGAGTTGCCACTAAATGGCTCCGTTCAGCTTAGTGCTATTAAACAGCTCATAAAACCTGCCACACAACCGCTTGAGCCACAAACAGATGCATGGTCTCAATGTGATGGGCTTGAGGACAGTGGGGTTTGAAAGCTGTCTAAAAATACCTTGATTAAACAAAATAGTAAATATGTTGCACTCACTCATTCAATCCGAATTGTTAAAATAACAAAAAGAAATATAAACATTTACAAATATCCACCACTTTGTCTGTTCATTGTAGGATCTCTAAAAAAGTTTTAATTACCACTTTTGTCCATTTAGTGCTTTGCACGTCAATATTCTGATTATCAGCAGCCAGTACAAAAATTTACTTTATGAGTTTAATAGAAGCATATTTAAAACTTAAGTAATTTTACAGCATTATTTAACTTACCCAAGTTTTGGACAAAATGCAGCAGCTAGGGGTTCGCCTGCACAAGCTAACACAGGTTGAATTAAAAAATCTTAATTAAGTTTATTTGTGAAGTTAAACAATGTAAATTATACATTGGGTCCCTTTAATTACCTAATGTTTTATATTTCGGTTATCTTCAAGTGCAGAAATGTAATAACTATAGAGAGTATGCGTATGATGCCATGGTAACCAGAAGTCATGGAGCGAGTGGCAAAAAGCTTAAATGGAAGATTGATCCACATAAACACTGAAAATGAGGGTTACAGCTTTTTTTTGTGCTATTGGTTAAAATAATTTACGTTTCAGTCCTTTTTGTCTCCTTTTTCCATGTTTGCTGCATTTTTAAATAAAATACAGTCAAAGGATTTCTAAAATATTAGAGATTTGTGATTATTAAACTTAGATTATTAACTTAGATACTGGATAATTTCTTTCCCAGGACAACTTGGTGTTCCAGGACCTCCTCATGGAAAAACTAATAACACTAGTGCTTTCTTTACATTTTTTCTGTCGACATCACAATTCTTCGTTGAGATATTTTAATGCCAGTCAATACAGGACCACAATGTAGGCTGCTATTGGTCTGTTATTATTTAGGTGGCAAAAACAAAATGGGGTTTAGAGGTTCAGGAATCTGATTAATCATAGATGCCTTCAGTTCATTTCATCATTTCTACCATGAGAGACACATTGACGTTCATTCAAGCTACCCCTCACTCCCTTGAGCCATTAACTTTTAGGGCCATTATAACACTTTCGTTATTATCCGATAAATAACGTACAAAAAAATGGAATCAATTAGAACTAGATTTTAAAGTTTGCACGCAAACTTCGATGTTGGCTTGCGTTGGTACCGTTAATACCTATTTTTTTAAATGTTGTCAATCCCGCAACAATAACATAATCCAACCCCCATGTCTCTATGATTCTCATAA